ATAACAATATAACAAAATTTCTAATAAACTATATAGGTACATAAAATAGAATGTATCTCTGTACTCTGTGAAAGTCAATCAGTGGATTATCATTGAAAACAATGAATATTCATTGCTTCACAGTTATAAGTACAACACTAAATAATTCAGTGCTATAGGGGAGACCGGGGCGAAGTCGTCACCTTTTTTTCGATGCAGGTTTTTAACAACAAAATACATAATTTTAGTGAAATGTGGTGTACCGTTGTAAAAAGTGAATCCTTGGCTATAATGTTTCCTATGTATTTTTCGTCTACATCGCTTTGTTCAATCGGTATAGAGTAAAAATGACAAAGGTGCAAAAATTAAAATGTCAAAATTTCCGGGGCGGAATCCATCACCCCTATGGGGCGAAGTCGTCACTCTATTCTCGGACTAGATTTTAAATGAAACTATATAATTTCGATCATGAAATACGATAGAATACATTTTATTAATTATTTTTTAATAGAAAAATTTAAACATTTACATTAATTAACATTAATTAAAAATAGAATGAAAATAATTAGAAGAAAATCATTTTTCTGTTTTGTCATCACTGTCGGAATCGGACCACTCCTGGCTTCCTTGACTTCGATTTCCGCCCACTGCTCGTTGAAGGCTGCGGTTGTAATTGCGTGACATTTTTTGGGGGCCGGCCTCTCTTTCTCGACGCAGTGGCAATAGTCGATTTTAGTCGTAACCGTGACGACTTCACCCCGGACACAGATTTCAAGTTTAGTCGCTTATAAAATATTATAAATAAAGAAAACTGAAAAACTTCACTAGATTCGTGTTCAGCATGCATTACTCTTTGGAATAACTTATCTCGAGATTTTAAGAAACAATAATATTTAAAATATTAAAAACTTTCGATACGGAAAAAAATTCACTTTTGACTTCTGAAAATACGTTTGTTGTAATAAAAATCATAACATGATATATAATTTTACTAAACTCCGTTGATTACGTAGACATCATAAATAGCGTTTATAATATTAACAACAAATTTATATGACATATAGATTTCGAGATAACTATAGTGACGACTTCGCCCCGATGACGACTTCGCCCCGGTCTCCTCTACTTATAACTGTTTTCAATAGTAATGCACTGATTGACCTTTAGAGAGTACATATGTCCCTCATTAACTCCTAAACGCTTTGACTGATCCGGACCAAAGTTTGCATAGTTATACGCTAGAACCATGTGACAAATATAAACCTGGACAACGCCAAGTAGTTAAAGTAAATATATAGAAAGCGAGAGAGAGAGAGAGAGAGAGAGAGAGAGAGAGAGAGAGAGAGAGAGAGAGAGAGAGAGAGAACTTAATAAATATCTCTTTTTTAAATATCTGTAGTATTTCATATGCAGCTTATTATTCTAATAAAAAAGTCGGGAAGGATGCTAAATCTGTGAAATTGCAACTCGAAATATGTGCATGAATCAGAATAACTAGATTACACATTGAGTGACATTAAAGTTGCATGTTTGTATCTTAAAAACACGCGACGAAAAAATATGTTCGCGATTGGGAGCGTTAATGGTTGTTACACACGGGATTCGGTATGACAGAATTTCCATCCGCGCTGAAACGGAAGTAAAAGTTTCACCGCGTTTCCACCGTGAAAAAGCGCTATCGGGGGAAATGGTGGCCGGTCGCGTTCGGCTGATTACTACTGGCAGCTTAAAAGCGATGATACATGCAAACGTAAATCAAATGGTGAAGTATTTTCAATGCACGGTCCTCAATTCGGTCGCGTTAAGTCGCGTCGAATAACGGTAGGAAAATCTCTCACGATATTTACTTTCATTTTGTCGCGACGCGGTAAACCAGTTAAAAGTTTTGAATCGCGGCAAATCGGGTGTCCACGTCCCATATAAACAAACGTTGGATTTGCACTTTAGCGTTTAAAGAATAAATCTGTATTTTTACTCGGCGAGTGGGGTGAAACGTGAAATTTGCCCGCTAATATGTTGTTTTCCCAATTGTGGCAGAGATTTCTATTTTACTGCGTTTTTATCCAAACGGAAATAGAAGACACAATAAAATCATGGATCTCTTTCTCTCTTTCTCTCTCCCCCTCTCTTTCTCTCTACGTAAATATTTAATTATATCTTCCAAAAATGTGTTAAAATTTTTTTTTTAATATTACGACAGTTTATACCTGCTTGACATTATTCTTGACAAATGTATTTTTTCCAAATTTAATAATAAACTGGAGAATTCTGGTCATTAAATCAATTTGCCGTATTCGTATATAACAGACAAAAATACATTTTATGCGCTGCAGTAAGTTTTTAGACATAGTATAAATATTTTAAAAATACATGTTCTAGAGATGTTTTTAACAAGAGATTTTTTATCAAAGTAATATGTATAAGTTAATAGATTATTAAACAATCTTTAACTTTAATAAATGCACAAGCCAATCGGTATTTGAAAGAATATGATGCCTCCGAGAACAGTTCTCTTCCTCCAATTTAATATATTTATACTCATTATCTTTCTACGGTAAGAATTCATGCCGGTATTTTCCAACATTGCTTCAACGCGTAAAAATAACGCCCGTCACGACCGCGGATCGATGTAGCTAGCGAAATAAAAATACGAGCAATTTTCAAAATTACCAATAACACTTTCGTGCAAAAAGTTCATGCGCCGTTGACATACTTTGAAAACGCGACGTATCCGTCTGCATCAATTGGAACGCTGATAGTATGATTAGTTCCACCAATATGTGCTCTTTTCGCGGAACGTGAATTTCACCCGTGACATTTCATTGTCTGTAACCAGTGCATTTGCACGTGGCACGCGTTACGTGAAAGTGGTCGAATCATCTGTATTTTAATCAAAGACCTTTCTTAACTTTCAAAATAGATTTGTACTTAAATCTTATATGCGTCCTTTAAGGTTCAGTTTTTATTTTCTGGTTAACTGTTAACCAGAGGTTGGTCGACTTTTCATCTTTTTCTATATTATTATTGTGAGAAGAGACAGAGAGTCGACTAATCTCTTGTTAACAATTAACTAGAAAATGAAAAACCGGGTCTAAGCCTTTTATCTAAGAGCCTGTGACAGTGTATGTATAATTCTTTTTATTATAGTCGTAATTATCATAGGGACAAATTTCTCTCTTCATCTTTATATCAATTTTGTTTACTGTACACCCAGAGAAACGATTTATTTAAGTTAAACAAATGAGATACATTAAAATCACATTTGTTTGAATCTACTAAAGTTTTATTCATTTCTACTGAAATGTTTGCTAGATTTGAAGAGATGGATATGAATTCTCTTAGAGAATCTCCAGTCTCAATCAAATAAAATTTTGGTTAAGATAAAGAGATCATTTCTTTGAAATTAAATAAAAGTTTAACTAGGTCAAAATTCAAAGAAAATTTGTTTAATTTTAAAGAAACCTTTTTCTGGGTGCTTGCGTAATATAAAACTAACGATTGCCCCTGAGGTGTTACAGGAGTAGCGAGGCAATACATGCGTACCGCAATCAATAATGTGCGACGTAATAAAAGATAATAAGAACCAATACATTTCTCGGTTATCGATGAGCATCTGCGTCTTCAGCTTAGCTGAGCCAAATTCGCACGTATATAGCGCATGGCTTTTTAAGTATACTTTCCGAAAGTTTTACGTGTATTCTCTGTATTCGTCGAGCGATTCACCTCGCATTACTTGTTTCCTTGTAATTTGTATTCCTGTTGCCTTTAGTCCAACTATCCGCATTGCCCGAGTTGTTCTTATGTTACTTGCATTCCCGAAGTATTGTATTCTCGAGATAGTTTCGATTCTTGATGTTGGAGTATCGAAGAAGTATAAATGAACGGAAGAAGAGATGCGAAAGAATATATTTCTCTACGTAGAACAGAAGCTGAATAACATGCAAATCAAAATTCTATATGACGAGATTAAATTTTCATTGATATCAAAATGGGTGATACTATTTAAAATTATTGTTACGTTACAATATTTAATTTTTTATTGTACGTTTCATTAAATTTACGCTCCAACGATTCGTCACAATTGTAACGTGCAACGGTTGCATGATGGCAAAAAATTATTAAAGGATAACAACAATTATTCTACAAAAAATTAATAACATTTAACGCGTAAAAGTTAATGGTGAAATTTGTTGGTTTAAAGTTTGTTACGTTTCATTTTTTCAATTTAATCGGTAAGCTTTTAAATAATCGCAGCGACAAAATTATTTGCATCCGTACTTAAACGTGCGTGTTTTTTCAAAATCTGTTGGCTGCTCTGTGCTACCATTTTGTTATCAAGTTACGACAAATGCATTAACGGTACAATTATCACAATCTACGGCTTCGAAATTCAGACATTAAAACCGGGGATTCTTTCCGTCTAAGATATAATCGTCAAGTCACTGCAACTTTTCATGTCGTAAAGAAATCTCGAGAAGATCGGCAGTCAGAGATCCGCCATATTCGTGATTGGATTGACAAGTACGTGGAGACGCGAGTAAATCTTTAAGCCCATCGCAACATTTCTAAGAGCACTGTAGATTTCGTGCCTTGATTCTGCACTCCTCGCACGCCCTGCCACAGTTTCTGTCCGTGACACACAGTGCCGTACGTCCTGGAGGATAAGGAGACAGAGAGACGAGAGAGCAAGAGAAAGAGAAAGAGAGAGAGAGAGAGGGGGGCTAAGTGAGAGAGAAAGAGAGAAGGGGTGCGGAGGGGCAGGAGGAGAGAGGGAGGAGAGAGTAGGGGGAGAGAGGTTTCCCTCATCACACACACGTATACATGTGTGCGCGCGCGTGTGCGTACGCGCTTCTGAACGAACGTGTGTCGACGTCCTCCACCGTGGGGTGAGTGTGCGGGGCGCGTTGGTGTGCGCGGCCCCCGTACGTGTCTGCGTCCGTGGACCCTCTGCGCGCTTCCATCGTCACAGGGGGTGGATCGGAAGCGCGCATGCTCCTACGGCCGAGAATCTCCCCAGTCAGGGTAAATCTGCCACCGAAACAAGACGTGGTGCGTGCCGTCATGCTATATACAATGTCGCGTACGCGTACGGTCGACGTGACGATTTCTTAAAATAGCGCGGGGTGACAGCTCGCGGGCCGGGAGACTCGGCATGGAGAGTCGCGGCGGGTGGAGTTTCGCGTTGACGGTCGAAACGTAGCCGGCGCGGAGGTGGAGGACGAGAGAGAAAGACGGGAAAGGAGATTTAAAAAAAGAAAAGAAAGGGGGGAGAACGCGGTTTCGAGCGATGAGACGTTGGTCATAAGAAAGGGGTGGATTGCGACGAGCGTGAAATTGTGTGGCGGAAGCAGTTATGCGGTGAACGGAGAACATTTGTACGACCGGACCGCTGGCTGCGCGATCTCGAGCGATCTCGAGCGGAGCGACGGGACGAAGACGAGGGTACGGAAGTTACTTTCGAGCCGGGCGAATCGCGCGCGATCGATCGGTCGCGACGAATTCGATCTGGCGGCGCGCAGTGTCGATCGCTGGTGCTTCATCGTTGCCGCCCTGACAGATTGGAGAACCAAGTGAAAGATAAAAAGAGACGGAAGTGTTATCAAGACGGAAGTGTCATCAAGACGGAAGTGTTGTCGAGGCGGAAATGTTATCGTATCTCGCCGTGCATCGTGTGACTCCGCGATAATCTTGAATTTTCGGGACGTTGCCGAGGCGGATCGCGCACGTACGCGCGACGGAAGTCGGGACCGCCCTACGACGGGGATTCCCCGATTGGCAACCCCGAAAAACCGCCGAGGTCGCCGCGCGGTCCTTTCAACCGGAAGATTTAAACCGACGAGTGGAAGGAGCGCGAAGATCCCAGCGAGGACCCCGCGGAAGCGGAGCGGACGAGGAGGATATAGGTGGAAAGTTTGAACGGAGCACGCGGCACGTCGCCCGTCGAAAGTTTCGCCATAATCATTTCCGTGCGCGTTATCGCTTACGTGGCGACCGCAGGAAGTAGACGACAAACCGAAGTGCGGGAAATCGCGCGTCGCTTTCTTACGGGGAACCTGGACCGCCGTGCCCGTCGCGATAATTGATCCCTTCAGGTGGATCGAAATCCTCGGATTAATCGCGGCCGAATCGCCGCTCGCCTCGCTCCAGCCGCGGACCCGGGCCACGCCGAGATCGTGCGTCAATAATCGGCGTGATAAGACCTGGTGTCGCCTGGTGGGATATGTCAGTGAGTGGATGGTGGTGGTTAACGATCTCGCTGAGGAGGATGTGAATCGTTTCAGTATCAAAGTGTAAGCGTCTCCCGAAACAGTCGCGGAAATGGCTCTGAGATGGCAAGCGAGGCTCTCAATTGCTGCCATACTCTTCATGTGCACGGAAGGTAATTGCTTTGCCGCTCTCTAATCATCCTGCATGAACCGTGTCTGCGAACGAGGAAATGGGATGGCGTGCCTTCGCGGCGTTAGGCTGCCGTGCGGGAAAATCATGAAAAAGTACTTTGAATTGTGAAGAAGAAATGAGACGAAATATCGTGGAATTCTTATTAATGTGCTCGACGGTCGAATTTTCTCAGCGCGCTTCATGCAGCTTCCAGTGTGCAGCCTCGCAAACTCGTCAATGCCATTTACCGACGAAAAAACATTATTGTACAACTAACATAAGCTCTTTCGGCTGGTTTTCCGACAGTTTTCACAAAAATGCTGAAGCAGCGCTGATACGTTTATGCGATTTATAATTCTGACACGTTCGGATTTTTTATCGTCGATCTTCTTACGGGGAGAGAAATTTATGAATTTGTTTCGCAAACGGTTACTTGGAGATACTTGTCAGCGATTGTAACTAATTTGTCGCTTACAAAATGCGTCTGCAATACCAATATTGTCGCGGGAGAGAACAGGAGCGATGATAATAAGAGATGAGGAATAGGCTTTTAGTATAAGAGGCGTACACGCATACGCGAAGCAGCGAAGCGGTACCTCATGACACAGATAAAATCTCATCTACTACCGTCCGCGATAATTAAGATTCAGTTTAATTACGTTAATTGCAACGCGACATTCGCTGCTCGAAGAGGAAGAGATTTACGGCTGCTGTTCTAGTCAAAGAGTAAGCGAGGTACGGGAAAGAAGCGTGGAGATTTATGGCTTATGTTTGCGCTTCGTAAACGCAGAGGAAGTCGATTGTTTGCCGTGTGCCTGCGATATTCATACAATTCCTTCACCGCGTATGGTCGACGTAAACTGAAAGAGAAAGATGATTTATAATTTGAGCCTTCAATTACAGACGGGCGTCTGGAAACGGGCGAGTTCGCTGGAGAATCCCGCGTCATGTAACTTTTCCCCGATACATTTAGGTACATTTTTAAATAGCCATCTGTGCATACATTTAAATGAAACTTAAACGAGATGTTTTCAATATGCGTGAAAGCAGAGTTTTCGGTTCGTACTGTGCAAATTGTAATTTTCCTTAAAATAACAAATTCCTTTTGAGAAGCAATTATATTTGTATATTTAACTAGGACCTAATGAAAAATGTTGTAAGAGCGGAAACGGAATCTTTAATTTGCGATATAGATGAAGATTTCATGTAGAAGCAAAGTTACCCCGTATTTTTGCATTGTCAATAACTAAGCGAGATAGGAACTCGCGATAAACACGATGTTTAATGGGACGATAATAAGAAATTAATCGCAAAATTTAAGTACCAAGTTTATTAAAATATAGAATTTCTTGTAAAATGAGGCAAAGAATGAAGAGAATATAATACGCTTAATTTTATGAAAATACACATCCACAGCTACATGTGTATATTATGCATTACATAATCGCTTAACGAGGATGAGATTATTAATCAAACTCAACGCTTTAATGAGATGTTTTAATAGCGTTTTGAATTAAATAGTTCAGAAGATAAAATCTGTTGATATCGGACAGAAAATGTTCAATTATTTACCTATCGAGTTACACGCGTATGACCACGTTTTATAATAAAAAATAAAGGTAAAAAGTAGTCCAAACATTTCATACGCTATGAAGTTATAATATTTAACACGCGTAATACATATGTAGCAATAAATCGATGAAAATAAATAAATAAGTATATGCACGCATACGTATATAAGCAAAGCAAACGCGTTTTCAAATAGAAACTTTGATGTAAAATGCGGACATTTTTACAATCACATCAGTTGCGTAGCTCTAACGTTATTTAGTTGTTACGCATTATCTAACATTCGATATATTGCTTCATGCAGATAAGATAATTAGTGCTCGCTAGATGAAGCGGCAAACGTAATAAAACTATATATAGTCCTCGTCGTTTCCTCGATTAATTAAAGTGATTAATGAATTGTTTCGTAAGGATAGGGAGATATGATTTGTAACGTAAATGAAGATAATAAGACAGCGCCAAGTATCTTGAAGACATATATTATTATCAAGTGTAACTCTAAAAACTCGAGATTTTCGCTTCTGAGGGAAATGCTGAGCTTGAAAAAGCTCTTTAAATGTTTCACTTTTAATTTCATCTTTTCGACAATAATAATAATTTAATATCAGGCGCTTTTTTTTTGTAAACTTATAATCAGCCGAACTTTTCAGAAAAAGAAACCAAGGGGACTAGTCATGTAGAAATATAAAAAGTAAAATGCTAACTTTACAGAAATACGTGGGTCTGTTCTTTTCAGAGCTGCAATAGTTGAGAGTTTATCTTTCTCTTTTCAACGTAGAGGGAAGTCTGTATATTGAAAAGTAGCGCAGCCCAGGTTCGATGAAAAAGAATAGACACTACTGTAAATTCCCGGATACAAACGCTCGTGTGCCTATTTCTAACTTAAATTTTACCTTTTGCTATTTCACCGTTTAAACAGGAGAGCCAAATGATTGCCGCAGGAATTCAACGTAGACGTTAATAAACTAGTTAACATGCCGCGCGACGTTTATCGTGCGCGAGAAATATCGGGATCACGTACTATAACCTACGCCGACCTGTCGTGGCGCAAGGGTGGTCGCAGGGAATAACGGAATGGTACTTGGCGGCGTGAAAGGAGTTACTCAATTGAATCCATGGTATCGGGCGATAAAATGGTACAGCTAATGGAATTACCGGGGCGCGCTTGCATGCGTGCGACGCAAATTTATCGCATGTATTATTCATAACTCGGCCCAAGTCGGCCAGTGCCAGCGATGGTGTTCGCACGCAAGTAAAACGTTTCTCCTTCCGAATATGTATGCGTGTATCGATTTGGTAGATGAGGGATGACACGCGGTATCGATCATTGGCGATGTTACATGGCTACGTGGTAAAAAACGTCAGCCGGTGCAGCCTCCGCCGGGTTGAATTCGTGGATGGACTCGTTGTCGTCGTCGTCGTCGTCGTCGTCCTCGTCCTCGTCCTCGTCGTTGGCATCGTCGTCGTCGTCGTGCCGTTATATTTCATAGCCTTGCTTCACACCTCGTTTGCGCCATTGTCGTTCTAGACGAACAACTTTCGCAATTTCATTCGGCGCCACGGACTGCGACAAGGACTTCGCGCGCGAACTTGGTCCAGGTAAATTAAACGCTTGTCTCCGCTCGTGCGATGCCTAACTCGGCGATCTTCAGCTGCCCAAGGGCCTCGGAAATTCAAGCAATTACCGTCGCTTCGGGCGCGAGATGATAAAAAGTGCCGGTCGTCACGGGAGAAGGGTAGCGTTTATTGAAATAGGCCGAGGGGGCGGGCGTGTCGAGAGAACGCGATGTCGGGAGTTTAACGCGTGGCAGGGATTAAAAGTGGTAATAATTTCGGGCCCCGATTTCCGATGGATATGGCAGACGGGTGTTTTCAATGCGCGAATAAATACAGAAACAATTTTCATGCGTTTACAGTTTGTAGATAGTGTGTCCAAAACTGACAACGGTACACCGATTTTGGAATATAATACTTGGTCTGGAACAATAGTTCGTAAACTATATATTCGTCTGCATGGCGTATTTTTGCCCCTGGTTTTCAAACATTCATTTATCGCGCATTCGCAAATATTAACGTCAGCCATGACAGAAATAACATTCTAGATACGCATCGTATTTCATATCCTCCATTACACCTATGAATTTATTGGAATCGATTTTCTCGTAAAAATATCACGCACTCACGGTGCAAATGATTCGTCGGTTATAAACGGTAAAAATTTTTCGTCTTCGTGGCAAGTTTTTCATAAATTTTTACAAATCAAAGTGCAAGCAATTGGACGAAACAAACGCAAAATCTTATTTTTATTAAATATTGATTCCTCTTCTTATCTCTCTAAAGAGAATCTAAATGTCCTGTAGTCGTTTTATAGTCAAATTTTATAGTCAAATTTTAATTTCAAGTTAGAAAGTAGATTTCAATTAAGAAGAAAATTGGAATTAGAAATACGTCAACCACGAAAGTTCATGAAACATTACAATTTGTTTTCACATTCTTTATGTGCATTTTGCGACAATGGCATGTCAAATCAGACTTGTTTTAAAGCTTAATAGCTTTTCTTCTTTATAAAACGTTAAATCTGCACTTTCGCGTTACAATCTTGGAACTTTCTCTTCGCGGATCTAAACGGGCTAAAACATGCTAATTGGCTAAGACGCTGCGAGATAGTCATCGTCGGCAAAGGTGCTTCGCGTTGAATCTCACGTTATTATAGGATCAAGTCAAGTTAATCTTCTGGAAACGCACCCGTGGTTTAACAGATTTACGCCCAGCAAACAGGAGATTTTTCAGGAGATTTTCAGATTTTCGCGAAAAGACTGCTAAAAGGAACCAAGGAAGTTCCATCGGGAGACTCGAAATATAGCCGCGAAAAAGTATGTAGAGGCTTCTCAAAAACCTTACACGCGACTTAAGCTTTAGGACCATAAACACTTTACAGTTGAAAACGTTTTAAAAAGGAAAATAACAGAATGCAAAAATTAAGTCGTTTAATGCTTCAAAAATCATATTGATGCTTTTAATATTACAACAAGTACACACGTAAATTTTTATTTTTACTTGGAAAGTTTTGCACAATGTTCTATTTATTTCTCGCGAGAGGCGTTTTATTAAAAAAAACCAACAATAGAAGTCATGCAGTCTTATTGCTTTTTATACTCGGATATTCGGAACGCAACCATTTTCTGCTTCATTCCTTACGAAACTCTTATAGAGATTCGGAACTTTCATCGTTGTTAGCTAAATGCATACCAAGAGTCTCCACAAAATGTTTGCATTATCATTTTCACAGAGCTTTACGAAGCTTACAAAAACTTTCCGACATTTTTAGAGTCAGCAGATACCTTAGATAAACTTTTGAATTTCTTGCAGTTTTCTTTCTATTTTCCTCTCTTTTCCTATTTCAATGCGCTACTATTCCAAAGTGGAGCGCGC